CAAAAGAAGAAACATCGCAAAGTGCTCCGTAGCACCTTCACGAGGACGGCGAATGAAATGGATAAGCTTTTATCGGCGCCGGAGGGTGAGATACGATCAATTAAAGTTTCCTTGGATCTATTACGCCAAAAAATTGAAGACCTAAGGAAAAGTGATGAAGAAATCTACGGTCTATTACTAAGTGAAGACGCTAGTGAAGAAGACCTTTTAGCAGAAATTGAGTGTAGTGACAACTATAGCAAGAAATTTTTGGATCTAAGTATGCAGTTCGAAGACCGTATGCAGTCAATAGTGACAGGTGCAGTGGAAGGTGAGGTAGCTTCTAGGATATCTGATGATAGAAGTAGTTTAGACAGCAGACGCGGTAAGCGAAAATTTAAATTACCTACATTAGAGTTCAAAAAATTCGACGGGAATATTAAAAACTGGTTGCCTTTTTGGTCACAATTTCAAAAAGTTCATCATGATCCTGACATAGATCCGAACGACAAGGTCGAATATTTGATTCAAGCTACTATACCGGGTAGTAGAGCTAGGCAACTAGTGGATAGTTTTCCCGCCACTGGAAGTAATTATGATGCTATGATTGACTGTCTTATTTCGCGTTTCGGTCGGGATGACTTGCAGATCGAAGTTTATGTACGGGAATTACTTAAATTAGTAATAAATAATACTGCGTCTGGCAATAAATTAGATCTATCCTTGTTATACGACAAATTAGAGACTCAGTTGAGGGTTCTGGAAACACTCGGTATTAAGTCGGATAAATACGCGGCTATGTTATTTCCTTTAGTTGAATCCTGTCTACCTTCAGATTTATTAAGAGTTTGGCAACGATTGCCAGCAAGTATCGGATCACAAGCGTCACTTACTTCTGCCGGCATCGCAAGCATCGAAAATCGACTTCAGAGTTTAATGTTGTTCTTGAAAAAGGAAGTTGACAATGAGCAGCACCTTTCTTTAGCAGTCGAGAATTTCCATTTGCATGCTGCTAAAACCGAAGATTTTAAATCTACAGGCCCAAAAACAAGGAGACACGAGGAAAACAAGCACAAGTCTCCTTCCGCGATGGGTTTAGTTAATTCTCACACCATCTATAAATGTGTTTTTTGTCAGAATTCGCATGAAAGCAGCCACTGTTTTAAAGCACAGAAATTAACTTATGACCAAAGAAAAATATTTTGACAGAAAAAGGCGCGTGTTTTCGTTGTTTGAAAATTGGACATCAGTCTCGAAAATGTAGCAGTCAATTAAGTTGTTTAATTTGCTCTAAATCGCATGTACCTTTAATGTGCACTGAACTTTCAAGACACCGGGTAAAGCAGGATACAGAAGAGCAGAAAGAAAACGATGGCATTGCCGTGCCAAGAATTGAACAGACGCTCGCTAATAGTGCTAATACGAATGTTTTTTTGCAAACTCTGCGTATTGAAATAAACTATTTAGACAAGTCGCGAGTTGTACGTGCTCTTATAGATACCGGATCGCAAAAAACGTACATTTTGAAATCTACAGCTAAACTTTTGGGTTATCCTAGTAAACGACAGATTAATCTAGTACGTGGATTGTTTGGAGGAAACCAATTAGCGCAAAAACATGATTGCTATGATGTTAGAGTGTTTCATAACAATTATAGTTATACATTTGAGGCACTAGATCAAAACGTTATATGTAGCGACGTCTCTTCCATATTTAATGGTCCCTGGATAGAAGAACTTGGTATGTTTAATATAAAACTATCGGACTTGGGTGATGCGTCTCCTATAGAGATTTTAATAGGTGCTGATATTGCTGGAAAACTCTATACTGGGAGGAGGCACATATTGGAAAGTGGATTGGTAGCTGTAGAAACATTATTAGGTTGGACTTTAATGGGCAAGATACCTTTAGGTCAACGGGACAATAATACCACATCGGTTGTATCACTTTTTGTTAAAAATGCTTCAGTTAGTAATCTTTGGGAGCTAGACGTTTTGGGCATTGGTGATCCAACTGAAAGGAAGTCAAGTGAAGAAACTGCGCTAGCAGCCAGGAAACTTTTCTTTGAAACAGTGTCATCGGATTCTAGTGGACGATATGAAGTAAGACTCCCATGGCTGGAAGGACATCCGGCATTGCCGAGCAACTACCAAATTGCAAAAAGGAGACTCGAGAGCACATTTAAGAAAATAACGAAAGACGGATATCTTGAAGCCTACGACCAAATATTTAAGGATTGGTTGGACGAAGGTATAATTGAAGAAATATCCGAGGAGCAGCCTAGCCAAGAATGTCATTATTTACCCCATAGACCGATAATTAAGCCAAATAGCTTATCTACAAAAATCAGACCGGTCTTTGATGCTTCGGCCAAAGAAAAACACAGACCTTCTTTAAATCAGTGTCTTGAAAAGGGGGTTAACCTGATTGAATTGATTCCAGCTATTTTGTTGAGATTTAGACAAAAGGAAATTGGTGTAATCTCCGATATTCGGAAAGCATTTTTGCAAATTGGCCTGCATAAAGCTGACAGGGATTTTCTTCGCTTTCTATGGATAGAGAAAACTGGAAAAGAAAGGATTTACCGTCACTGTCGAGTTGTATTTGGAATAAGTAGTAGTCCATTTTTATTGGCAGCTACGCTGGACTATCATTTATCGCAGATGTTAGAAAAATGCTCTTCGGCACGGCTTAATGTTTCAGAAGACACAATTACAAATTTATCCAATAGTTTTTACGTTGATAATTCTGTTACCAGTGTAAGAAATGAGCAGGAATTGAGAACTTTTATAGAAGAGTCAAACATAATAATGAGTGAAGGCAAGTTTGACCTTAGAGGGTGGGAGTATACTGGCCAAATACAGGATGAAAACCTTGCAGCTTCAACTCAGGTGTTGGGAATAAAGTGGAATAAGAGTGACGACACTCTATTTCTGAATAAAGACAATAGATTATCGGGAATGAACGCTTTTAAGGATGAGCATGGACTAATTCGCTTACAGTCGCGTATTAGTAATAGAAATGACCTAGAGTATTTTCGGTTTCCTATAGTTTTACCGGCAAAACATTTTTTAGTGAATAGGTTGTTATTCCGGGAACATGTTAAGTCGTGTCATATTGGAACTCAAGGACTCACTAGTATCGTGCGCGAACGATATTGGATTTTAGGTGGTCGACGGGCGATAAAATCAGCTATCATTAAGTGTGTCGTCTGCAAAAGGCATAATGCAAAGCCATTCGGGGCAAGTGTTCCGCCGTTACCAGTAGATCGCGTCCGGGACGCGGTAGCATTCGAAACGACGGGCGTAGATTTTGCGGGACCGCTTTACCTAGCCACCGGAGGAAAAGCATGGATATGTCTTTTTACGTGTGCCGTATATCGTACTGTACATGTCGAACTTTGCACCTCGTTGTCAATGGCCGCTTCATGCAGGTTCTAAGACGTTTCATTGCCAAACGTGGTCGTCCGAAGACTATATACAGTGATAATGGAACTAACTTTGTCGGAACTGAGAACGCGTTTTCTCGAGTAGACTTTCAAAAAATAGCTGAGAACAGTATTAATGAGCGTATCTACCCCATGGAGTGCCCAGCAGATTTTTCTCAGACGCTAGGCAATGACCGAACGGACAACACGGAAGAGACCGAAGACAGAGGATCTCGTTTAAGTTTATGTGAAGGCGCGGAAGTGAGTGCCTCCGAAAACGACGCGGAAACGGGAGTGTCTGAAAGCAGAGTACCTGAAACGAAAAAAATTGTTACGCGAAGTGGGCGCAGCATCAAAACTCCTGTGCGATACGCTAACGAGTAGATTTAGTTTTTGCTTAATTATATTTCGAATTTTGTTTGTTATGGTTTTATGTTATTTGCTGCAGTTTTGTTTACTTTTGTGCCAATATTAATAGTGAGCCATGTTTACTTTTGTAAAATGCCTCAGGTGGGAGGATGTCACAGCCATTTGATAATTATTTTGTTTGTATACCGCTTTGAATGCTGGAGTTAAAATCTCTTATTAAAATTCAAAGAAAGATTTAGCTATAAAACCTTTTTAAATCATAACAATCTTTCCACTTGTCGGCAATAATTTTTATATTTTATCGCCATCACTTCAATTTATTTTGTTTATTTTAACGCGTAAGTGGTGTAATAAAAATTGATGAGGTTTTTACAGTTGACTAAGAATCTGAGCGCTGAACGGTCGGTATCCGTGGCGTAGTATTTTTTAATTTTGTGTATGTATAGATTGATGCTTATAAGTGATAATTTTGTTACATCATTTCTTAAAAGCACGCGATATGTTTTGTTGGGAACTGGCAAATATAGATTTTCAATAATTTTGAAGTTTAATTTTGTAATATACGAACCGTGTATTTTATACGCAAATTCGGGTAGAATTGCGTTGGTACACACTTGACATGTTATGCCTAATGAAAGATAAAACATTAATTAATTTTAAAAGGGATAATCGAGGGCAAGAAAAGTGTAGGAGAAAGAAGAATCTCATGGTCGCGTAACTCGAAGGAATGGTACCGATGCACATTAATCGAACTATTCAGAATGGCAGCATCTAAGTTTAGAATAGCCATGATGATTGCCAACCTCAGAAGCGGATGTGGCACATAAAGAAGAGCAAGATGTTTGGTAATTATTGTTATGTTATGGTATCATAACATAAACAGTTGTAGCTAAGGTCGAACTTTCAAGCCCTATATATTACTATCATTACTAAGATATCTGCAATAACACAATATCATCAGAAAGTTCATAGATAAGATCTATTCACATTTTTAATAAAAAACGTTAAATTTGGCTGAATGTAAGTTTTTTCTTCCAAAATTGTTAACAGTCTCTAATTATGTCAGCACACAGTGCTCAATCTATTTTATAATCCTGAACGATGGCACACGTGTGTTACCCGAGAATTCGAGACCAGGCAACACCCAAACCGAATTCAAATTCGTCGAATTTATCCTTCGCTTAGAGCTCGGCAAATCCTTTATTAAAGCTAAATTCTATTTCAGATACGTCCAACAAACGGCAAATTCCCCTGTAGACATGAGGGTCGGCATCCACACAGGGGCCGTATTGGCAGGCGTTCTTGGTCAGAGACAGTGGCAATTCGACGTTTACTCTAAGGACGTAGAACTGGCAAATAAAATGGAAAGTAGCGGATTAGCAGGGTGAGTATTTAATGATCTAGAATGACATCTAATTAGAAAAGCATTAAGAAACGAAAGACTGCAAATTGCTTTTAATTTTATTTATTATATTTACATGTTTAAATGAATCCCTAATAAAAGTCTGAAGATTTTTCAGGCAAGTTTTATTATTTATGAAGATTATTACTACGTAATTTAGAGGCAAAAAACAGATATTAAATTGAATTGGTGTCTTTGTAATTTATTATAGAGTACTTCAAGGGTAATGGTAGTAGAGTATTTTGGAAATTTAAATTAAACTCGTTTTACATGTGTTTGAACGTGTTTTTACATTGAATTTGGTTCAATGCCAAAATTGTGATATTAGAAATATAATTAGTAATAAACAGAATGCAAATGTTATTTTAAACCTATAGATCTTTACTGTTTTGACCTTGTATTAGGACTGCAAGTCCTATATTTAAAAGCGTAATAGAAAGAAAATAATAAGACGTACTTCAATCCAGTTTAATGAGTAGTACTTATTTCTTATTAGATTCATAATATAGTTCAAGTCAACATAAAAATTAAGTTAAGCTAATGTAGCAGGAGTCCAACGCTCTATGGCGATTCTGCTAATAAAGAAAAGAATTGTCTCACCCGAAGAAGGAAAATAAAATGGAAAACAAAAGCTGGAAATAAAAACGAAAAATTGGATTTAAGTATCCATCCCTATGTCATTTATTAGCTCTTATATAGAATATGCTATACCTGTCATGGAAATAGGTGCTGTATCATAAATGGGACATGGAAATCCCGGACCAGATCAGTCTGAAGATCCACTAAAGAAGCTGAAACGAGGTTCCATAACAAAGTCATTCATTTATTTATTACAAAATCTTTATCATCATCATGCAACCTCTCCTCTCCACTACTGGACATAAGTCTTTCAAATTTTTCTCCACTCTTCACGGTTCTGTGAGCCTTGTTGCCATTTCTTGAATACTCGTTTAATGTCGTTTATCCAGCGTGTTGGTGGTCGTCCCCTGCTGCGTTTGTCTTCTCTTGGACGCCAGTCAATTAGTTTTCTGGTCCATCTTGAGCATTTTAGCCTAGCTATGTGACCTGCCAATTCCATTTCAGCTTGTCTATACGGTCTACGACATTAGTAATATTCTACGACATTAGTAACATTAGTGATACCTGTTCTTTTACTTAGTTCTTGGTTTCTTGCCTGTTGTTTTTGTGAGAGTGGGAGCTTCTGCTACGTATGTCAGAATAGGAAGAACGCATTGGTCAAATCTGTTTCGTTTCATAGCTATCGATATGTTGATTTTAAAGATATCTCCTAGTGAACCATATGCCCCCAAGCAAGTGCTATTCATCGTTAAAATTCACACGTCTGATTACCCTTGTTTATTCTGATTTTATGACTGAGATTTATGTACTTTTATGTCAAATTTACCACATGATTTTGGATGGTTAGGGAATCGCTGGAAACCAAATTTGTTATAAATTTAGTCTTACTGATGTTCATTTTTAGACCTATTGTTGAAAATACGTTTTCTAATTTTTGTAGCATTTGTTGTGCTTAACTTGTGTTGTTAAAACATAGATGATTGAGCATTTCCTCATCTATCTTTATTCCTCTATTTTCTCACTTTAGTATTTGAAATGCGTATTCGAGGACCGTTATAAATAATTTAGGTGAGAGAGTGTCGCCCTGTCTCACACTTCGCTTTATATGAATTTCTCTGGTGATATCATGTAGTTTTACAAGGATTGTGGCGTTTTGGTACAATATTTATACTAACTTTGTAAGGTAGTCTGTTCTATTGTTCAGAGCAGCTATAATGCTGTCTAATTCCACGGTATCGAAGGCTTTGTGACAGTCTACGAAGATAAGTACCAGTAATCTGTTATATTCTATCGATTTTTTTATCAACATTTGTATCAACTGTTTGTAGGTGATTGTTTGTTCCGAATGTTAAGCAAATGTCAGCTTATTCTCGGGATTGGTAGATATGCAACTTTTTTTCTAGTCTTGTAATTATTCAAGTAAACATTTTAGAGATGTGGTTCAATAAGCTGATTGGTCTATAGTTTTCTAGGTGCGCCTTGTCTCCTTTCTTGTATAGTAAAATTGTTACTACATTGTTCCATATTTTCGGTATGCAATAATCGTGCGCCCATCTTTATCGCTTCTATTACGACTCCATCTTTTCCTGGCGCTTTGTTGTTTTTCATATTTTTAATTGCGTCTTGGATTTTGCTTAGTGTGATCTCTGGCATGAGCTTTGAGCCCTGGTTGACAATTTTGCGTAATGCGGGGGCTTTTAAGTTCGTTTGGTCTTCCCTTTCACTTGTGTATAGTTCTTGATAGAACCTCGGTGTGAAAGGTTCGGTGAACCTTTTCATTCTTAAATACTCTTAAATATTTCCTTATAGCTTTTGATACTTCTGTATTTATTTTTCGTTGTTTTTTTTTTCGACAATGCTTTCGTTTTCTTTTATTTCTCTTCTAGTTACCATTAGTTGCTTTATTTTAATGGTTATTTTTTCATTTGGCATCTTTTAGGACAGCATTTTACTTAAGTCTCTCGAATAGCTTTTACGATATTTCTGTTTAGGGTAATTACATTATTTATTCATTTATTTTGTTGTAGGATTTTATAGATATTGTCTTGGTATTCATTGAAATTCGTTGGGTCGCTCCATATCGGGTTGTCTTTCTTCCTAATCATTTAAATCTTTCTGTTATTGTTTAATTTCAGTTTAGCTCTTACCATTCTATGATCGCTGTCTGTGGTCAAGCTATTAAGGACTGTGACATCGTTGACTATATGATTTTTTTACTGATCATATAGTCTATCTCATTTTTGATCTTGTAATCTGAACTTTTCCACGTCCATCTTCTGTTGTCTTTTTAGAGAAAAAACTATTCATCTGGTATAGATTTTGTTGTAACAGAAATTCTAGTAGTGTTTGTCCACGCTCGTTTGTTTTATTTTTAAATTGTTAAATTGTTTTTAAAAAACTACGTCCAATATAAAAGCCGAACTGTCAACTATCTGAACCAGCCTATCGTTAGCGGAACTAACGCAAGATTTGCATTATTTATATTTGTGAATTATTTTAAACAAGAAAATAGCATTTAAATATATCATCTTCAAATTAAATTCTATCGGGTATAAGTAAAACAATAAACAGTCTAACGTCTTTGACCATAAAATAATCCCCATCTAACAATAACTGTTAGATATATGTACATATCAATTTTCAATTTTACGGCAATTGTGGTAGGTTAGCAGTCAGAATAATAAAACGGGTCTAACCGTTTTAAATATTACTTACTTGAATTTCTCGCACTAATGTTACAATTTCTTCAGCTCTGGCTCGAAAGCGTGAAGCTATCTAACAAATAAAATAGAAAGGATAGGATTAGCTGGATGGGGAAAAGTTAATGTGGTGGATGCGGTTAGACAATTGGGTCGTTTTTGATGGGAATGGGCTCTTGAAAATGAGAAGTTCGTTTACGGGGGATAAATTCCTAGCGAAATAACTGCTTTAAATTTCACATATTTTAAGTAAGTCAGTATCTATTTTTTTAAAAACTGGGTACTTTTATTAAATTACTCGTCAAATGAAGACTAATTCGGATCGACAAAATTCGGGTCCTAGAATATTTAAAGGATTTTCTAGAATGTAAATAATTTCATCGAGCCATTATAATCGAAATAATAAATATTAAACGCAATTTTCTTTTCTTAATACCTGTGAGATTTAGGCCCAAACGTTGCTATCACATTCTTTTAAATTTTATTATTAAATTAAGTCCCTGAATAACATGATCATTATAAGTAAAAATTTAAGACTGGTATTTATAATATTGTCAATAAAAAATACTCTATACCGCGGCGATTATCATTACGCCGGGCTTTCGATATCCTCTCTGACCGCTTACCAAGAAAAACCCGAACACCATACTTCTTTTCTTATATTTCCAAAATTCTTTTTAATACGTATGTGTTTTGCGCTTTTCAGGGACGCTTTTTTTTGAGAAGTAAGGAAGATCGTCAGGAAAGGTGTCCCTGGTGTGTCGAATTTAATCCGACATGCTACATCGCGTGCCGAAACCGCCTACCGACTAAACTCACCCCTCTTTCTCCAGCCAACGGGTCTGAAACCGCTCTTAGCAAGCATGTCTGACCCGTCAACCTTACTCATAGCTCCCCCTAGCACCTCTAGCGTAAATTCCATGGAATGGTCAGCCTCAGGGACGCTTTCTCCCCTCCCAGGCCCCGCACAGCGAAGCGACCGAACACGAAAAAGAGGGCGGCGGAAACGCTCCCCAACCCAAGATGGAACTAACCGTAAGATGTCAGTTGGCAGTTACGAATAACTCCAGTCGTTTATACCTTCATCTATTTACTCTTTCGCATCCTCCCATTCATACTTTCTCTCATTCATCTCCAGTCATTCCTTACTTTCATCTAAACACACCTACTTATCCACCCATTCATTCTGACATTTAGATGGGACAGTCTGTGTAGGTTGGATGTAAAAGATCCGTCCCCACTGACTGTCCCAAGACGATACATAATATATAGTAAAGAAATAAACTGAAAAAAAAAAGAAATGATAAGAAAGAGCAAAGATAGGATTAGAGGAAAGAGAAAAAAGAGAAAGGATGAAATGAAAGATAGCAAAGAAGCCAAAGAAAGAAGAAAACACAGACAACATAAATAGAAAAGGAAATTGAAAATAAAATTGTTCAACGGACAATACCCTATAAATAAAATCAAATCAAAAATAAAACTACGATAAAGTAAATAGATAAATAAAACTATAACAAAATAAATAAATTAATTAATTAATAAGTAAAACCGTGTAAAAATATAATGGGATTATTTAAATTAGGCAGTCAGTGTAGTTTGGGTGTGCAGAGTCCTCCCCCACTGGCTGCCTTTTTCGACATAGAGTTAAAAAGTTAAATAAGTTAAAAAAATAAATATACTGTCATCCTGTCTGCAGTCGTCTCTCTTTTTCTTCTTTATGCTTTATTGTCTGTATGACAAAAGCAATAATCAGGTTCAAGTCATGCTTGCTGTCGATAGCTTTATCAATTAGCTTGCGAGGTTCACCTAGAAGGCCCAGCTGCAGCTCAATACGTGATATGCGGGTCATACGAACACGACATGCCGCTCGTCATCGACCATAGTGTACTCAAGACATAGATCGTTCTCGGTTTTCCCTATACGATGGGTATATTTCCTGAACGATCCATGCCCTGTCAAGAACTGTGTGAAGTAATTAAGAGTTGACGTGTCGATATCGACACCCGTACCACCTCACTGCGTCCGGGATTATTGATCTCGTCTACGCAGTCTTTCCGACTTCAGCTGCCCATTCCCTCTGCCACGTCTCTGGGCTTGAAGCTTTTTCCTATGGTCCTAAACCAATTGCTTCTTTGTCCTTTTGGTACATTCAGACTCTCTCCCTGACCAAGATGTGCACTGGTGCAGAACTGGCCACCACCTGTAAAGCAATGGTTTATACAGTCCTGTACGCACTGCACACCCTTTTTGGGAAGCTATTTTTCCACTAAACCAAAACTGCATGTCACAAATACCAATATTTTTAATATCTGGTAATTTATTCATTCTTTCAATGTACATCCTATATCATGGAACAGTTTTGACTGTACAAACACACGGACAGCCCTAAACAATTTCGAATCTTAGACTAAAACTCAAACACTATACTTCTTATTCTTTTATTTCCCAAATTATTAGACTGACCAGTTTTGCGCTTCTGCATAAGCTATTTATTCCACTAGACGTAAACTATAGGGCACAAATATTAATATTTTTAATATCTGGTAATCTATTAATTTGTCTAATGTACATCATATAATTAAGTGCATACAGACATCCGCAAACACTTTCGAATCTAAGTCTAAAGCTTAGAAAAGTACAGTGGATCACAACTTTTCTAATACCCGTATTTCCACTATTACTTCTCACATTGAAGCAAAAGGTTTCAATTAATTTGTTATTATCATCATCACTTACCGCTACAACCCTGGGTGGGTCTTGGCTGACTGTACAACTTTTTTCCAATTTATTCGATCTTTCATCAACCTAGGGTCAAATGGAATGTTCTTTTGCAGGAGATCTGCTTGGATGTGATCTCTCCATCGCATTCTGGGACGTCCAGTTTTACAAGTCTCTCGTTATGCAGTCTGTGCACGTGGCCTGCCCATCTTAGTCGCTGCGATTTAATTTCTTGGACAATATCGGCGTCGCTGTAGAGTGCTTTTAATTCGATATTCGCTCATGGTAGTATTTTTAGTAGTATATCAAGTAGTTTTCATTCGAAACGTCTGAGCTTTTCTTCGTTTGCTTTGGTCATGGTCAACGCTTCGCATCCGTATGTTATTACAGGTCTGACGATGGATTTAGAAATTTTGATCTTTTAATTTCTTGTGAAATTTTTTTATTTTATGAGCTTAGCCAGTGCGAATAGACAGCGGTTTGCAGATTAGATTATCTGATAATCTGTTACCCCAAGTTAAATTTCAATTAAAACAATCATCTGTCAAACTGAAGAAAACATTTTTAATTTATCTTCCAAAGATGCTAATGTAGCTAGACAAGACATCGCTAGAGTACTTAAAAGCTCAATGTCTTTTACTCCAAATATTAGCTATTCCGAGAGAAAAGCTCTGAAATAACTTCAGTCAAACTCAAATTTAGTCATCCTTAATACCAATAAAGAAAATGTCACCGTCATCCTAAGCATTTATTCTTACATTAATGAATTATTAAGTCTCATTAATACTTCTTCATCCATAATCAATAAAACCTCCCCTGCTGTTGACATAAAACAAATTCTACTTTGTCATAAGAGGTCTTTTTACTCTTTACAAACATTATTATAGATAAAACCCTAAATATTCAATAAACCAAGTATAGTAACCTGCAAGACCTCTTATTTCGTCCAATACTTTTCATCTTCTAAAGTCAATTTTACATGAAAATAAATAGTGCCCCAATGGCATCCCTACTATCTCCAGTGATTCTTCTTTTTGAATGGCTTTACAACTTGGGATAAGTCATCACTGCATCCACTATGGCCCTATATTATTATTATTGTAGCCAATCGTAAATAAATTGGCTACATCATCCTTCTACTTTTTCTGAGACAGCTTGCTGACTAAATATAGCCTTACTGTATGATGATTCGTAGAATAATAGAGAATTGCAATAATGTACAATATTATCTTCTAAGACTAATTTGGTGTTATAAACGTCAGCAGAAAAATTAGATTATATTACAGGTTTTATCCTTAAATATATATCTACTATTCCTTTTTCAATAAACTTTCTGTAAATATTTTAAAAAATTTAACATTTATGAACCCGTTTTCCCTTTAAGTTTACACTCAGGCTTACAAGGCATTATATATTTCAGGAGAGTGCACATATCCGACGCAACGTTATCCTTCCTAAATGGGGAGTTTGAAGTGGAGCCCGGCTATGGAGAGAAAAGAGATGAATCATTAAGGATAGCAGGATTAAAAACGTACTTCATCGTTAAAGTGCTCATTCCAGTAAGTAAAAAACCGAAGTTACTATAATTATAAATAAATCAATAAGTTAGCTTTATTTGATATTCCACTAGAAATAGTCTACGAGAATTATAAGTGTGGAAACTACTTATGGAATAATATTTATTGTGTCCTTATGTTAAAAAAATATTAAAAACGCTAAGACTCGTCAACTTTTTAATGTAATTTGGTGTTTTTTAAATAAAAATTTATTAATCTACAGGGTGATTTACGTCGTTTATTATGGACTATAAGTGTATTATAGTCCATAATATTTATTTTGATTTAAATAATCTTTTATACATTTTTAAACACTTCTTATAGATCGAATCTCAATGAACTGTATTAGGTAGAGTCTTCTTCTTCTTCTTCTTCCTTTGCCCTACCGTTTCGGACGTTGGCTATTAACAAAGCTATTTTGACTTTGTTTACGGCACCTCTGAACAGTTCGGTCGATGTTAGTCCGAACCATTGTCACCAGGGATGGGCGGTGTCGATAATGTCATGTCGACAATTCGATTGTCGACATGTCGACAATCATGTCGATGTCGAGTGATTTAAATTTGTTGCCAATATCGACAATGTCGAGTATGTCGACAATTAGCAAACGATCAGAATGACGTTCCGTGCGCACTAATTTGAAATTTTAGGTTAATCTGGCTGCGCTGACTTATTGAAAAAGTATGCATTAATGTTTCAACAAGTTGCAAAGAGACCAAATAATCTCAAACTTTTGAAACTTTTAACCTCACTATTAACTTGCAATTGTCAAATTCATAGGATATTCCATAATTGTTTGATTGCAGGTTTTTCAAGTGTAAATGAATTTTAAATAGAATCATATAGAGACAATTTATTATGTGCAAACCTCATGATAGAGTAATGCAATGTAATGAATCTAAAATATTACCATATAGATGCAAAACCAGAAAAAACCAGCAAAACAAATTTTCATAGATTTTTAATTTTCTATCGTTACTCGTAAACTCGTAAAATTTACAGAAAGGTTTAAAAAAATTAAAAAGAAACGTAAACCTAAACGTCAGTAAACGAGGTAAGATTCAGAACCACAATCAAACATATCTCAGTACATTGAAACCTTACCTTGTTTCCTAACATTTCGTTTACTTTTTTTTAAATTTTACTAACTCTTTATTATAATAATTATAGTATAATAATTACTGAAACAGTGTTGAATCTCTATGTGCTTTGGCAGAGACTGCATAATAAAAACATTACAACATTTTGCGGTTTTGCTAATTTTTAACCAAAGAAAACATTTAACCAATAATACATCAAATAGTTGTACTTTCCCCGTCCATATCTACAATTTCTTTCTCGTCCAGGTCATAACCATTTTTATCAGGATACTCTCCCTTTAATGAAACATAAATATGTACCAATTTCTTGGAATTAGTGAACGTTAATCTATTTCTTATCAGACTGTGAATGTGTCCCCAATTTGAAAAGAGTCTCTCGATTTGAGCTGAGGAGGCTGGCATTTTTAGAAGTCTGAGAGCCATTTTAGCAAGAATTGGGCATTCCAGTTTGACCACTCGTCAAAATACTAGAGGCTTTTCAACTCCTATTTCCCAAAGTGTTGAGAATATTCCTGAAATTGTAAACCTAATATATTAAAAATCAAAAGAGCGATAATTTTGTCTGAAAGACTTACCCGATTTAGTGTTAAATTTGTCCCATTCTTCTATGCCCTGATTGCACAACTTTCTGAGTAAGAACTGAGTTATTCTACCAGTGTGCTCTGACGTAAGCTTGGAATTTTCATATTTCGGATGCAGATAGTACGCAGTTAATGCGTACACGTTTAACGCCATTTGTTGTCTGTGTTTCAATTTTTCTTTAAGGTTATCTGGCAGATTCAAATTGAGCCACAGATGAACGGCATCTGCTACAGATGTGTCAGATTTCTGACAAGCATTGATCAGATTAAAAATGGGTTCATAAATTTCTATGTTCTGTTGAATCTCATCCACAAATTCATCGTTGAAGATTAATTCCTTGACTTTCGGCTTAATCTTTTTTTTCGTTACAGCGGCTACTTGTTTCATATATACCAGATTTTCTAGGAGACTTTTGAAAGATTCTCGGTAAGAGCACCATCTTGTTTCGGCCGGCAATTGGATTCTGCGCTCTCCCTTATCAACTATCATTTTTTCTAAATCTGGTTGCTTAAATTCTTTGAGGACAATGACCACATTGTCGACTAACTTTTTATCCAGCACGTCTTTGGCTAAAAGGTTGCCGGTGTGGCTACTGCACGTAGAGTGCCACATGTTGTGCTTGAGGAGGGATCCCATTTTAATCATTGCACTAGCATTATCCGAAACTATACCGTACGCATCTACATCGTATTTTTCTTTTGCAATTTTTTTAGATTCTGTTATTATTTCGGCAAGTTTTTCTCCAGTCTTAGACTCCGTGGTTAAATCCCAAGCATCAAGAAAGACATTTTTTCCGTCTGCACTATGCAACATTGTCACAACCGTTTTTGAATTAGTAGATGAGTTTTTCCAACCGTCACACAAAATGACTGACTCGGTTTCCACTTTTTTACGTGAAATCTCAATACAGTCTTCATAGCACTTATTTAAAAGCGATGTACAAAGTTTTTTCCGGCCAGGAATTTTGTCTAAATAAGCAGGACGGATCGTTTTATTAATTACAAATTACTACTCTCAGTATCAGTAGTTGATAACATCATATTTTCAACAATACTATAAGTGCCTTGAATTGCTACACCATTGTTTTCTGCCAATTCCAATGAGGCGGCATCGGTATCTAATGAATTTTCTATAATTCCATCTAGCATGTTTTCAGGTGAAGTTCCAGTCACAATAGCTAGCGAACCATCTTCCATAACTTCGTAACTACCGTTCGTTGTATTCTAAAATTCAAAATAAAAAGAAACTCTAAGGTGACTAAATATAAAGGGCGGATCTACGGACACCCTGTATACAGAAGTTGGCATGGATACAGCGTTTTGTACTTAATTCAATAGGCCAATCCGTTTTTTGCCGTAAAATACTAAACTTGGTGTTTTTTTAAATGGGACACCCTGTATATAGAGATGCAACAACGTGAAAACCTCAGAATACAAATTCTGGGGTGAAAACTGGTGCAATTTATGTCCCCTTCCGAATTCTAATTAAATAGTAATCAAGAAATCTACAATAATATATAGTGCGTTATTTTCACTTCTTGCCGTTAGATGGCTATACGGTTTTTGACGCCATGTTTTCTCCAATATACTACTACCGAAATGGTGATCCATGCGTTGTTGAGTTATGCGGCTCCGAACACATTTTACGATTCATTTTTATATTATAGATAAATGTAAGTTCAAAAAGTTCCCCCCAAAATTTTTTCTAGATCCGCCCCTGCTAAATATGTAGTAGAACATACGTCCTATATACTCACTTGTGGATTAACTGTAGGTGTAAAACCTGTGTCTGAGCCAGTATTTTCGTATATCGAAACATGCGACATTTCATTATTGGATTGATTACCATTGCCACGATCTAACTTGCAGACGTTTCTTAAAATGAAAGAACGGGATGGGGTTAGTTATCAGCCGATACAAATATCAATTTCAGAGAATAAATCTCTATAGCTATCCAGCTAAAATTAATTAAAATATTTCTTCTTACCTGTGACTTTGCAATCTTGCTGCAGCTGTATTTTTTATCACATTTCCACATACACAACATTTAGCCGCGTGCTTTCCTTCTATCTTTAATACTTTGAATGATAATATATCATAGTTTTTATTCAGTTTTCTGCCACTCATTTTGATTCTGATCAGATCAGATCACATTCAAAGTTTACAACTGAATAATTTCATAACATAACCTCACTTTTTTCCATTATGGACACGTTGCTGACATTGTCGACATTGTCGACATTGTCGACATTGTCGACATTGTTGACACGTTCTCGACATTGTCGACACGTCTGTGTCGACAATTAAAATCGACATGTCGATGCCCATCTCTGATTGTCACAGCTTATGCATCCATGAGTGTCGTCTTCTTTCCGGTCCCCTCCTACTGTCGATTCTTCCTTGGACTATTAACTGTAGCAGCCGGTACTTAGTATGCCTCATGACATGTCCGAAGTACTCAAGCTTCCGTTTCTTTACGGTTAAGATTATTTCTTTGCTTTTGCCTATTCTCTGCATTACTTCCACGTTAGTGATGTGGTCTGTCCAGGATATCCGAAGAATACGGCGATATATCCACAGCTCAAAGGATTCTAGTTTCTTCACGGTGGCTTCAATTGTGGTCCGTGCCTCTGCTCCATAGAACAAGATAAGGAAGACATAACACTTGACCAGTCTTAATTTTTGTTCCATTGAGATTTTGCTTGTGAACCACTTTTTTATATTGTTGAACGCGTTTAGAGCTTTTTCAATTCGTGATCTTATTTCTGTTGACTGGTCCCATTTTGTGTTGACTATGGTTCCAAGGTATGTGTATGTCTCCACTTGTTCTATTTTTTGGTTGTTTAATGTCAATTGCATCGGAGGTTGTTGTGTTCTGCTGATGAGCATGCATTTAGTTTTGGTTGTATTGAGTTCTAAACCGTATTCTTGACTTGCTGTGTGTATGCTTTACATGAGTCTTTGAAGCTCGTTGTAGTCATTTGCAATAATAACTGTGTCGTCAGCATATCTAATATTATTGATTACCTCTCCGTACCTGTCGTACACTCTTTTTAATATCTATCTTCCCACTGTGTAAGTTTATTTAGCTCATCTTTATCTCAGCACTTTGGTTCCAATAGAGACTGGTTATTATGCGCAGATCCTTGCCATCAATATGCATCTTCCTGGGCATTTACATGAGTTTATCATGTTTGACCTTGTCAAACGCCTTGGAGAAGTCGATGAAGCGCAAGTGGACGTCCTTGTGCATGTCTCTGCATCTTTGAATTAAAACTTGCAGACTGAAGATCGCCTCTCTTGTGCCCAATGCGCTTCGGAATCCGAACTGTGACTCCGATATATTTTCTTCGCATTTGTTATATATTCTATTGTGTATGATTTTAATGAAAACTTTGGTAATGTGATTTATCAAGCTTATTAAGCGGTGATGATCACAGTGTTTTGCACTTGGTGTTTTAGGTATGGCTACAAAGGTCGATCGAAGCCATTCCTCCGGAATCTCCTATTTGTCGTAAAAGGTGTTAAAAAGGCCTGTCAGAAAATCGAGGAAGTGGTCATCCGTTTCGCATAGGAGTTTTATGATCTCGCCCTGTATGTTGTCGGTACCTGGTGTTTTGTCGTTTTTTTAGCGATGAAATGGCTTCCATTTCAGACCTTAGTATTTCGGGTCCAGTCATGTCATCTTGGTCCACTGTCGCTCTGCGTTTATCGTTAAAAAAGTCGTTCTACGTAATCTTTCCATGCGTAAATAAGCTTCAAGTCATCTGATATAAGATTACCATCTGCGTCTATGAGTGTCAGGTGGGGATTATTGGTTTTCTTTTTAGTTGTTAATTCTTTGATCTTTTTGTGCATGTTGTGGTAGTCATATCTTCTGTCGCACTCTTCGATTTCATCGCATTTCTCCTTCAGCTAGCGTCCCTTCGCTTTCTTTATCTTTGTTTTTATATTGTGACTTTTTTCTTGATACTATACTTGATTTTTGCATTTGTGTTTGTTTTCTTTCTTCCATCATATCAAGGATTTCATCCGCCATCCATTCTTTCTTCTGTACGCGCTCCTGTAACAGAAGTGTCTTGTTTGTCATTTCAACAGCTCTTTTTATTTCTTCCCATTTAGCAACTGCGTCTTGTGCAGGTTCACTCAAGTTTCCAATATTTCTTCTTAAGGTAGGGTCTATTATGAATAATACATGGCGAAATTTTGAAATTTTACAGTATTTAAAACAATTATGGAATAAAATTTTTTGATATCCTCATAAATTTAGTTTTCCTGATATTTATTGATAATCCATATTCTTCTCCATATTCAATTATCTTGTTCATTAGATTTTGGAGGTCTTGGAGGTTGTCTGCTATTATGATAGTTTCGTCTGCATATCTAATGTTGTTGCATTGAAGATCCAATGAAAGATCCAATAATAAATTTGGATCTGTCTACAGATCCAAATTTATTATGTACTCTAAAAGCTAATGGTTATAGTGGAACCGGCACTATAAGGAAAAACCGCTTGCCAAAGCACTGCCCTCTTGCTTCAAAAAAGGAGGTTAAAAAACAAAGAAGAGGAGACTTTTCATACATTTTAGACAGGAAAAATGGAATAGTGTATGTTAGATGGATGTACAATAATGTTGTCACCCTTGCTAGTACGAGTTATGGTATTGAGCCAGTAAAGGCAGTAGAAAGCTTTAACAGAAAAGAAAAGAAAATACTTCCCACACCAAGCCCTAATCTTATAACGCAATAAAATAAAAATATGGGTAGAACTGACCAAATTGACAACAATATATCTTTGGTAAGTTTGTCTCTTTGTCTACCTTTAGAATATGATGTTTTATCTTATTGTAGTTATCGCATTGGTATTAGGTCAAAGAAATGGTACTGGCCCATATTTACTTATCCAATTGATGCTGTATTACAGAATATATGGATTTTTGTACAGAAAAAGTGGCCGAAAATTTTGTCAACTAGATTTTAGACGAAGTATTGACCAGGTACATAAACAGATAGAAGGAAGCTATTCAGTAGTACTCTTGTGTTTCTTTTCTTTATTTGAGACGTATTTAACAAGATACAGGGTACAACCGAAAGCTACTGGATGAACACCGAAAGCAGTAGCGAGTGGTTTTCGAGTTAGCAATGATATTAGATATGATGGAATGCATCATTACATTATTGCAGCCCCGAAGCTAAAAGGCGTAGATGTGAGGGGTGACAATTGCAAAAGTAGAGGACGAACAATGTGCTGCAAATGTAATATTGGACTTTGTATAGATTGTTTTCGAATGTTTCATAATCAGTAACTAATTTTTTTTTAAATATTTTTTTTGTGTAGGTATAACATAGGTTGCGCCTAATGAGCCCATATGGGAACAGATATTTTTAAGCACCTTGTTTTTCCTAATAAAAACATATAGTCAAAAGTATGTTATAGGGTCTTATTTTATTCATTATTATTGTTAATTTCTAAAATTTAAAATTTTTTTCTCGGCGTTAATGGGTTAAAGATTAAATAAGTGTTAGTTAAAAAAACTCACAACATACACATATAAATATTACGGCTCAAAAATACTATGTATTCGTATATTCATACAAATTAATAAAATCAGATAATTATTTATTAATCAATTAACATTTTCAAGTGGAATAATTGAAAATTTATTTATTATAATTCATTGATCTGTAACCATTTGTTTTATACGTAAACACATTTTCATATAACTGTCTCTAAATATATGTCTCTTGTTAATAAAAAATTTCTCACTAATATAATTGGAAATTTATTATTATCAGGCAAAATATTTTAATGGATATTAGGGTAACATTTTATTTTATTGCTAGTATTCATTTAGTAAATAAATGCAATAAAATAAATATTGAAATAGTTGACGACTTTCATTTGCCAATTATTGACCGATCAAACCTCTGCAATTCAATGATTAAATATATTTTAAATACATATATTAATATGTATGTATTATGTATCACATGTATACAGGGTGAGTCACCACTAACGACGGAAGATTGCAGCGTAGTTTCATAAGACTACCCCATACCTATGTACAGAGTGTTCTGAGTTATGTGGAATATTCTTAAAATGTAAAGCTTTAAACGAAGACTCATTCCTAACTTATTTAAGAAACTCTAATAAAATTGGTTATAACTTTAAATAGTTGGATATTGGTTAAATGTATTTCATGATTAATTATTAAAAAGTTATTTACAGGATGGTCAAAATTTGCAGTTTTATTATTTAAAAAAATTCCATTGAGAGAAGTCTTCTTACAAACTCCTTCTGATGACGGGTAGGCCCAGAAACACATAATATATATATATATATATATATATATATATATATATATATATATATATATATATATATATATATATATATATATATTGTAAAAACTACGACCGTCAATTTATATTAATAAAGTATTCAACTAGTGAAATCCAGAGGTTTATTCGGTCAGTCAGGTTGGCAAAATAAAAAACAGAAGTCATCTACTTCATAAGTTTATAGAAGACGTTTCGCTTTATACTTCTAAAGCTTCAACAGTTCTCTAAAATACAAAGATGACATAGAGTTTATAAGAAATACAGATCTAATAATTTATTACTTACAACTCAATATGTAGTATTAAAGATGTTATTGTATATGTACTTAAGTTTACTCATAAATTTAGAACTAACTTAAAAAAAAAATTAACAGGAACATGCAAAAAATAGTATTCGCAGAAACGAAGATTTACAAAAACTTTAAACGTACATTTGGCTTCATTTAGAGATGGTTCTCCAATGAAGACAAACAAAACACTGATTTATTGCAATCTATGCTAAACGACGTGACGCGATACCGAAATTTTTTCAAGGGCCATATGTTCAACAAATTCCAAGGTTTGAGACAATTATAAACTTCTACGGGGGACATTGAAAGATTAGTTGGTCGGGTGGATTTGTATGACGGAAAAATTTAATATGATTTTTTTTTGTAATTTATGTTTTAATGAAACTTAGAGATCTGGGATGATTGTTATTGTTTTGAATGGAAAATAAGGCTATTTTAAATGATGAATATTGGTATTATTTATTTCGTAAGATGAGAAAGTGGTACCACCACAATGGTAAATTAAGGTGAAAATTTAGTGTGTTCTAAAATAATCTCTACTCAGTTCTCCCCTCCTCAACTTATTTCATTAGAGAATATAAATTTGTAAACCCAAGCCAAAAATAGATCACTTGAGAAAGGCTATCAGCCGAAACAGCTGTAGTGATAAGATTTAAAATAAATTTTGTGGAAGTTTGAAAACAAAGTTTTCAGTGTTTTATTGTTACATAAAATGAATTTCCACCAAGTAACGGTCGAATCCATCAATGTTCATTTATTTTATTTGTTGGTGATTTTTTTAAATATTGACCAATGGCTTCATTTGGATGTTAGTTTAAGCTTTTTTAGGTTTTCAAGGGTCAAACTACACTAATCTTTTCGATTGTTTTCTATCCGTTGTAGAATGTCATAATTTCACATGAGGCTTGTTTTCGTACATGTGTTTATTTGGATTGCAGTGAGATACGATTATCGACGAAATTGATAAACAAAAAGGGACCGATCTTTTTAAAAAAAGGTTGATTTTTTCCCTCTTTTTATTAAATATATTATACTTAATAAAATATGGACCAATTTGAAGTACTAGAAAAGAAAAAGGAATAAGAATGAAGTTCGTGTTTTGCAAGGGTTTATTTTATTTGTTTTGTATGAGGAGAGAGTGATATATCAAACTCAAGTTGTCGATTTGAATTTGGCACATTTCGAGGATGGATTGCTTGTGACAATTTTGATGTTTGCACAGTATATATATATATATATATATATATATATATATACAGAGTAATTCGTTAATATAATAATAATTCAATGTTCTTTATAATTAATCGATATGCAATACAATAAATAATTTACTTGTTTGTTTTAGTTTCAACCAAAAACACAGGAAGTACAAAATGGTGGTAATATTCTTCCCGAAGAAGACAGTTGTGTTATAGCGGAAATTGCTTCAGATTCCAAAGAAGAAGAAGCTAATGTAAGTACATAATGTCAACTTAAAACATGGAATAAAAAGATACAGCTAACCAACAAACCAAACTTCTAAATGACAAACTGAAACTGCGCAATATTCTGAAGTTGGCAATGCTATTTTTGTTTTTAGAGTCGTTATTATATTTGACAACCCTTCTAGAATTACAGTACTGTGCGAATTAATGTAATCGTAGGCTGATTTAATAAAAAAGAGTTTATTTAGAAAAAAAATATATCTTGGCAAAACTATGAAGGTAAAATTACATCATTTAGTGGAAAATATGTCCCGCTTTGAGTGCAATTACTGCTTTTACCCGTTTTGACATAGATTCTATCAGCTTCTGACATTTCCTAGATATTCTCTCATCTCGAAACCAAACCTGAATGACCGCCTCTCTTATTTTTATTTTTGTAATATATTCACCCAAAAAATAAAGCTTTCCTAAGATATATGGAGATCTATCCTAGATATTTGAAGGAGAGCGATCATGGTGATGTTCTTCAAAAAAAGGAGATAAGAAAGACCCCAATACTTATTGAGCAATAAGTCTATTAAATACAACACTCAAATTGACAACAAGAATAATAGCGACAAAAATAAACGAAAGAATATCTCTGCAAGAGGAACAGCAAGGATTTCGGACAGGAAGATCATGCACAGATGCAGGTTTTGTAATAAAACAAATAAAAGAAAAGTCGCTGAAATACAACAAACCAGCATATATGTGTCTGATAGATTAAAGGAAAGCGTTTGATTGAGTAAGAATTCGGGACGCGATATATTTATTATATGAAAAGGGAATATCACTGGATTTAGTAAAAACCATTGAGAATATATATATATATATATATATATATATATATATATATACAGAATGAACGAAATAAATTCGGAACATACGAAATATTATGTATTTCGACTCAATTCTGCTGTAGGTGGTTGGCCAACAAAAGGTTGTCAAATCAATACTTCAGTGAGCTGCTGGATTCTGAACTAATTCAAGAACTCATTTATAGGTGGTCAAACCACCTATCGCTTCCTAAAGCCGGCCACTCACGGTACAGCGGTGTCGTTCGACATCGGACAGAGGCGTTGTTCAATTTGTTGGTATATCTGGTGCGCCCACACACCATACTGCGCCGCAGTGTTTGTTCGGTTCTCTAGCATGTCATATCAAACAATCATTTTAGCGTCTCTTACTTTGTGTATAAATCCAAGATTTTGGTGCAAAATAAATCTCGTCTGCCCCTGCACCCGATTTAGTGGACCGGACTGCTAATTTTAATTCTCATTTATAGGATGTTCTAAAATTATTATTATTTTTTTCTTACATACCCTTCATTCGCATCTTTGTTTACTTCTTGGAACTTTAAAACTAAAATGTCCATTGCCTGTTTTCAAGCGTTTCTATCGTGATACGTTTTACTTTTTATTTGCTATAGCATTCTTGTTTTTTATATAATTTAAAAAACTCTCTTAAAAAATTCTCGCTAAATTAAGCCATTTCGATTGTCTATAATATGATCAAAGCAAGTGTTTAGTTAAAAACGAAGTTGAACAACGCCGCTGTATCGTAAGTTGGCGCCTTTAAGCAAGCCCCTCTTTCGTTTATCGGAGATGGAGATTTTGAGCGGTGTTGCCAATAGATTGGTAAATACAATGAAAAATATAGGCAAATGTCCGATTTATTTAAAGATACTAAGAAGATATAACTCTCAAAAAGATCCGCAAATCGGATTATTACACGGCGATTGGCAACATTGGCTTTGAGCTGCGCTCTAAACTATGGTGCGTTCTAGAAAGAGACAGATAGTTGAACGATATTTTATACAATGTCTAACACCGGGTATGGATTTATTTTTGTCCAAGTTTTATATTGGTCCACTATTTCAAATGCAAGTCAAACAGACATATATTAAATTGTATGATCCATTTTAAATTCGTTCAATCTCTATAAAGATAACATAGCTATGGTAAGATGTAAAGGAAAACTATCGCAACCTATCAAATATGAAACTGGCATTAGACAAGGAGATTCGCTGAGCCCATTAATATTTAATCTGAAAATAAATGAAATCATAAAGAATGTTAAAGAAAGAAGAGGACATAGAATGAGAGAAAAGGAAATAAGGATAATATGCTACGCCGACGATGCCATAATAACAGCCGAAAATGAAGATGACCTACAAAGATTAATTAAAGAATTCGAAGACACGGCGCTCTTATACAACATGGCGAACTCAACAGAGAAAACTAAAGCGATAGTGATATCAGCGGAACCGAGAAGATATAAACTAGTCGCAAATAACAAAATAATAGAACAAGTGATGGAAACTGAATACTTGGGAATAAAACTGTCAAGCTACGGAAAAGTGGAAGAAGAAGCACAAAAACAAGTGAATATGGCAAACATAGCAGCAGGATGTCTCAACAACACAATCTGGAGAAACAAATACCTCACAACGGAAACGAAAACCAGGATATATAAATCAAGAATAAGACCGATAATGACGTACACAGCGGAAACAAGAGCAGATACGAGGAAAACACAAAGACTGCTGGAAATAACAGAAATGAAAGTCTTACGAAAAATAACAAACCAAACTCTAAGAGACAGAGTAAGAAGTGAGGAAATGTGCGAGCGAGATGTGGTATAGAGGAAATAAACACGTGGACCAAAAGAAGAAAAGTGGAAGGGAATCAACACATCGAAAGAATGACAGAAAATAGAATAGTACGAATAGCAAGAGACAAATCGCCAAATGAAAGAAGATCATTGGGACGACCGAGGAAAAGATGGTGAGACAACGTCAATTGAGGTTTAAAACCAAAGTAAAACAGGCATTTAGTCTATTTATAAAGTAGGAAGAAGAAGAAAAAGTATTATATTCAATTTTAAGCAGTCTAGATTTGCAAATAGCATTGCAAATGTTTTACGATTTGATCAATATGAGATGGGGTAAGGTTTTCATTGTCAGAGTTCCTAACGAACTTCGACCGCTGTTTCTAAACTATAAAGTGAGTTTCATCTCTAAATAGGATTATAGGATTTATATATATATATATATATATATATATATATATATATATGTATATATATATATATGTATATATATATATATATATATATATATATATATATATATATATATATATATATATATACATACATATAATGATATGATACGATACTCGATACACTTATTCAATTCTTACATTATTCAGACAAGCCCTTTGAATTAATTTGATCCAACAATGGTCTTACTTTTCAGAATCTATTATTTTCTTTAGTCTCCTTGATTACAGACTTATCAGCAACAATTTTGAGTTATATTTGAATGGCAAAACAACGATTTCTTGACATGTTGTCTGAAACTATTGGTACCCTGGTATCCATTTACCAAAACATTCGGATTCGTGATAAATTATAGATACCAATATGCAAAAAACATGATAAATGTTTTTAGTTCTTCTGCAGAAGTCTCCAAAGATTTTCCAGTTTTTTTTTACTTCGTTCATATTTGTGTACAACGCCATGTATTAAAAAAATTGTTGTCGATATATTTATTAAAGTAGTCAATAGGTCTTGAAATATTTTTGGGATTCAAGGGATCTTGCACAGAGGGTTGATATTGGGCAAATTGTGATGTAAATTGTGTTTTCTTACGTTTTTTTTGTCTTATTTAGGAATAGAATTTGCCCTGTTACTGTCCTTTAAAAGCCAGGTTGCCAAGAGCATGTCATCATCCTTATCGTTGTCTGATATGTCATTGATTTCAGCTTGATCGTCACTACTCTTTTGCTCATTTTTAAAAATTATTTCATTCTCATCCAGTATTCTAGGTTCATCCTGCTCATCCCCTCAGGATGAGCAGGATGAACCATCATCACTGTCAGAAAAAAAAAAGATCCAAATCAGAGTGATCTAAATTCACATTATCTGCGATTTCCTGAAGTTCAGTCGCAGTCAGCGGCCCAAAAAATAAAAAAAAATATTTTAAAATACACTGCCACTTAGGACCCAATGTATTGTCAATGATACCTTGTGTTTGGGGCCAAAGAACTATTGTACCTATCATCAATTTATTACAATTTTAATTTAGTACCTTTTTTAACACTAAAATGCACTAATCATACACAGAAACACGCTAAATATTATGTATTTACTTTTATTATCGATGATTTTTTTAACGTCTGCCTTGATGTATTTACTTATTCACAACAAAAATCTGACTAACTCATTTCAATCGAGAAGTATGCCACTGCTCAATTGTCTACGCATACTAGATGCTTAACACGGGCGATACTTACGGGTAGACTAACTGAGTTTGCCGTCGAATGCGGAAAATAATTTGTTGAACCGCACTATCATATTTATAATATGATACCTGGAGTCCGAGGAGGAGAGATCAATTGTGGCACGATCTGTGTGTCGTGTCTTATTAAAGACAGCTTCTGCATATCATGGTTGTTTAATTTGGGAATAAAAAAAACAGTAATCATAGATCTATAGGGGTCACCATTGACTGTAACGTTCTGGCCAGCATCGTTTTTGAAGTACGGTCCAATAATTTCACCAGACAATAAAGCACACCAAACAGCACACGAAAAAAAACACCCGTTATTTGCGTTGTAACACAATACTGTTTAATGAGAGTAATCGAATCAATAGCTTACGATTATTTCAAAATCTTTATTATTATTTCCTGCATCGACTTTATTATTCTCGTAGCAGAATATTTTAATTTTAATTTTTTAATTTTTAGGACGCAAATTTAGGTCGATCAAGACAAGACTCCACAGATTTTAAAATAAGGTTACGAAAGGAACTGGTTAACAGAGATGGTCACAAGTAATATTGATTTACCTCCAACACACTTATATATTTGACTAAAAATTACCTTTTAGGGAGCTGGCTAAGAACACAAAATTGATGACCCTAGCTTTTGTCGACCCACAAAAAGAAAAATCATATCATTTACATATAGAATCATTTTCAAGTTTTACTTTGCTCATGTTTTTAATAGTAAGATTAGCGATAGGAGCAACTATAGCGATAGTTTTGCCGAGGTAAGTTGGAGATTTTAAAGTTAATGTTTTTTTTTTATTTAAAGAGACAAAGTCTCTTTAAAGTCTCTACAATTTGTGAACAGTTGAACATTTGTAACAATTAATGAAGTTAAATTTTAAAACGCATCTTAACTTTTGTCGATCTGATACTCACAACAAAATGTATTGAATTGTTACCGTTGAGCTTATACAAATTTTATCGAGCATTGATTTTGCGAGCGTAACTGACAATCAAAATTGTCGATCGCTTTAATCGTTGTTTCTGAGAGAACGATTCATTCTATACAGAAAATGCTTGTCAACGTTTTTGATTAAAATTATCCTCGCTACATTTTTTAAAATTTAAAAATTTAACCAAGTAAAAATTAAACATTTCATTTAAATTTAGCCTCCTAAACTATTTAAATTCTCATCATCTTTTTCTTGGTCTGCCAATATTTCTTCGTCCATTTGGTGACTTATCTCGTGCTATTCGTACTATCCTATCCTCTGCTATAATTATAATCATCATCAGTTGGCGCTACAGCACTTCGTGAGCCTTGGCCTGCTTCAAAATATTCTTTCATCCTTCCCTATCGAGTGTCTGTCTTCTCCAGCCGCTTACTCCAATCTTCCTCAGATCTTCCTGTACATCGTCTAGATATCTGAGTTTAGGTCGCCCCCTTCTTCTTCTTCCGACCGGCCTATTTAGCATAGTTATTTTAGTGGGATTAATCTCATCCATCCGCATAACGTGGCCCACCCACCTTAGGCGGTTTATTTTGATGGTCTTCACAATATCTGCATCACCAAAAACTCTATAGAGTTCAAAGTTATATCGCCTTCTCCACAGACCCTGTTCGTTTACTCCGCCATATATGGTCCTCAATACTCTTCTTTCAAAGACTCGTAATAACTCTTCATCTCGGGTCGTCATTGTCCATGTTTCCGATCCGTATGTGAGTACCTACTGGGCGTATTATTGTTTTATAAAGTTTGCACTTTGATGCTATTGACATACTTCTCGCTCTTAGTTGAGGGCTTAAGCCAAAATAACAGCGGTTAGCTACGCATATTCTTTTTTTTATCTCGTTGGATCTGTTATTTTTGTAGTCTACCAGTGATCCTAAGTAGCAGAATTCTTCTACCATTTCTATTGTTTTGTGTTGCACCTCTAATTTATTTTGTTGAATTCTTGATATGGCCGGCATATATTTAGTTTTCTGGATGTTAATCAGAAGTCCGATGTTTTTTGCGGCATTTTTGATACGTGTGAAAGCCTCCACTGCTTCATTTTAGGTTCTTCCAATTATGACGATATTATCAGCGTATGTCATTATGTGTATACTACATGTATATATCGTACCTTATAAGTTTATAATTATAATCTTTATGTATAAATTTGTTTTTATTAATTACGCAACCAAAGTACACTATTGCCAGTTATGTAATAACTTTTAATATAGTTTATGATACTTGTTATATTTATTTTACTATTACTTTAACTATATTATAATACCATAACTTTTTACCACGTTTTGGCTTATATACTCATATTTACTAATCACAATTATTTTTATTTCCTTTTAGTGATTTAACTATAGATGTGACATACTGTACAGAAAATATTGTATTCTTCGTATTAGTAATAGTGGCAATTGCCGAAGAATTTCCCGGATTGGTAAGTATATTTTAGTTATGTTAGTAATAAAACTATTCAATATGTTTAACAATTATTAGCATTACCATCATGATTAAGTCTTCTACGTCCACAGTTGAACATAGGCCTTCCCTAATTTCTTACAGTTCTGTCGGTCTAGAGCTTTCTGTAGCCGATTCATAGCGAGGCTTTTGACGTCATATGTCTATTGTATTTAAAGGTTACCTCTTCTTCTTCCGTCTGTTTGTGGTCTTTACAACAGTAGTCTACAGTAATTTTGTGGACTTCCGTCATTTATTCTGGCCTCACGGCTTGCCCAGTTCTATTTTAGCCATGCTAAGCACTTTATGACATCTTTAACGCCTGTTCTAACCCTGTTTCTAAGATTCAGTCAAAGTAACGATTATTTTATTCCTTGAGCAACTTTAGGTCACACAGTTGCTAAGGCAAATATTTTTATGAACTAATGGACAAACGAAGAGAATCTAAAGGAAAAAATAACAAGAGAATACAAAAGACTAAATAGAATAATTCGAAAAAAAAATAACCGAAGCAAAAGAGAAATGGCTGGAAACAAAATGCGTTGAAATAGAAGAACTGCAACAAAGGCACGATTTTTTTAATTTACATAAAAAAGTAAAAGAGTTTACATCGACTACCAAGAGAACGACTTTTCACACCATGCTGAACACGTATGGCAAACTGCTAGAATCAACGGAAGATAAACTGAAAGAATGGAAAAACTATATTAAAATTCTTTTTCACGACATACGAGAAAAACCAAGATAGGAAAATAACAACGAAGGGCCAGCAATTTTGAAATCTGAAATAATAAATGCAATTAATCATCTCAAAACAAATAAAAGCCCAGGTCTAGACGGAATATACCCGGAAACGTTAAAAATAATCAGCGAAGAAAATATCCAAATATTTGTCCTTTTATTCAATCGCATTTATGATACCGGTAAAATACCCCAAGATTGGTTGAAGTCAATATTCATCCCACTACCAAAAAAGCCAAACCCACAACACTGCAATGAGTTCCGTCTAATAAGCCTTATGAGTCATGCAGTAAAAGTCCTACTAAAAATCGTACATAGTCGTATTTATAGAAAGTGCGAAACAATCATCGGAGACGATCAGTTTGGATTTAGAGCCGGCATGGGAACGAAAGAAGCCCTGTTCAGTTTACTAGTTCTCGCCCAAAAATACTACTACTAACAGAAAGATATATTTATATGCTTTATAGACTTCGAAATAGCATTTGATAGAGTAAGACACGACCTACCATTAGAACGTTTGCAAGAAGTCGGTTTAGATGAAAAAGACATCAAATTCTTAAAAAACTTGTAGTGGAACCAAAACACCAGAGTTAGGATCAAAGGTTCCACATCCGCAGAATTAGAAATTAGGAGGAGAGTTAGACAAGGATGTATTTTATCGCCTCTGCTGTTTAATCTTTACTTCGAGTTTCTATTTAAAGAAGCATTGGAGGATTCCAAGGATGGAGTCAATGTGAATGGCGTAAATATCAAGAGTATCAGATACGCCGTTGATATAGTTTTAATTTCGGATTCCGAATTAGGTCTACAACGACTCATTGACAAGACCATCTCGACCTGTGAGCAATTTGGTATGAAAATAAACATTAAAAAACACAAACTAATGTCAATCTGAAATAACCAAAACGTACTTCAACCAATTTAGAACAGGTCAATAGATTTAAGTACCTGGGATGTTGGATCGATAGCAGCCTAAATATTGATCTAGAAATAAGATCGAGAATAGAACAGACCAGAAAATCTTTCGAAAAAATAAAAAAAACTGCTTTGGGATTCTCGAATAAAACTCGAAATTCGACTACATTTATCAAAATGCTACGTCTGGTCGACTCTTCTATATGCAGTTGAAACGTGGACCCTTAAAACATCAACCGTCAATAAATTGGAGGCCACTAAAATTGTGGATCTACCGCAGAATACTTAAAATTTCATGGACATCGCATACCTCAAACGAAGAAGTGCTGCATAGAATAAGCAAGGAAAGAGAACTTTTTAACACAGTAAAAGTTAGAAAAACATCATACCTATGCCACATACCGAGAAACAATACGTACCAATATGCCTAACTTATAGTGAAAGGAAAAATCGAGGGAAAGGGAGGACCAGGAAGGAAGAGACTATCGTGGCTCAGAAACATCCGACAATGGACAGGGCTAAATTTTGAACAGCTAATAAGAACAGCTGAAGATAGAGATAGAGTTTAAAATTGTAGTAGACAACCTCCATTGAGGAGAGGGCACTTTGAGAAAAAGAAGAAGATTACGATTTAATACTCTATTGAAACAACGAAACAAAAATTGGCCTCCTATTCACTTCCTCTGATATTCCACAATAATTTTTTTTTAAACTCTTATCTTTTCATGATCACTCAGTTTCTGGCTAATGGGTCATATATAATAATATATAATCGGTATTGGTTTTAGTCAAATGTTGGCGGGCCTTTAAGGAATCAATGTTTATTAGAAGACTGTTATCAACGACTTGTATAATACTTATGGGTACTGTAAATATTTTGGACTCGGTAAGTAAATTATTATTAATTATAGTATTAAGCATAGTATTAGTTATACATTTTAAAGTCATAATCTTGTATTTAATTCAGGATATGACGGTAAAAATAGTAGGAATCCTTTAACTTTTTTTTATATGCATCGATGTGCTTGAAATTTTGAAGTTCAAAATTTCATAAATTTCAAAAATAAAAATATAGCTCAAAATCTACCCTACGGCAATATATGCTTTTCCTGTGGGGCAGGTTACCACCCCAACTCTGAAGTGGAAAAACTTTACCAAAAAAAATCATGGTTTTTTCGAAAACTCAATAGTTTTTGAATTATTTTTGACTGAATGTCAAATTACACATCAAAAAACAGTTTTTTAAATGGTTTTTGCGAATAATTTCAAAAATTTAGATGTTGTCAAGAAAAATGTTTGAATATAAAATGATACTTAAGAGATTTTATATATTAAACTATTATAAACGGGATTTGACAAACAACGCAACTGGTTTGACAAGTATGTGGGTGTCATATTATTCTGACCATGTTTTGAAGCTCAGTATACTGTTCTTATGTTGATTGAAGTTAAGTTTTTTAAATCATTAAAAAAAAATAAAGCTGTGTATTTTTAATTATATGTACATATAATATAATATGTATATTATTGACACTATCTATCGAAGCATTCTAAATGGCTTTAAAAGCTCACACACTTTATAATTAATTTTTGTACTAACGGAAAAAAAGGTTCCAACTTTACGACGAATACATAGAAAATTTGTCACTGAATACAACTACAATGGATCGCATAAATCTTTAAGAACATCAATGGGGGACATAGGCTTTTGTTGGAGAAATATAAAAAATAATAGAAAACTTTTAATGGAGAAACCGGAAATCGAACAATTGAAAAGAATCTTTCTTTAAGATATTAAAAAATGATAAGAATTAAATTAAATTAAAGAAAAGTTAGGTTGGTGACTCTCTGTTCGAAACACACACTTTTTTCAGGGATATTAGAATAACTTCAGTAAAGTAAATTGAGAGAAAAGCCGACTTTGCTACCCCTAGAGTCAGGTGGCCTAACCACAGTCAAGAAACACAGACGGTGTTCAATTACCCAGGACACTGTAGTAACGATGAGTTCATAAGCCTCCCCACGTAAGTCACACGTTGGGATGGGGTGGAGAAAAAGCTTGGGGGTCAGATAGGTACAATGGTACACACATGTTTCTTGCGGGCAGGGTTGAACACATGTGTGTGTGTGTGTGTGCAAAGTTTTTCATTGTACAATAAAAGACAATATCATCTACAAATTGTATTGTTTGTATGTTTGAATGTTAACGCTGGCATCCATTTTATACAATAAAAACAAAACTGGACTTAACCTTGGGGGAGTTCAAGGCTCGTAGTGGTAGGTGTAGTGGTTGCTTGATTTATTTTTACATGTATTTTTTTGTTTGTGTACAGCAAATGTATAAAGTTTGCGTGTAAATATGTAATTTTTTTTTATAAAATTCAATTGAAATTAATTTATTTGGTAAAACATCTAGATCAACGCTATCAAATGTCCCTGTAGTATCATTAAAATCTGCTATAGTCATGAGGTTACTAGTAAATCTAGCTAAAGTATATTAGTGCCAGATGTTCTTTCTCTAACCATTGCTCAAAACAATTTGGATGTCGTAGCCTCTTGGTAAGCGTCTGTCTATATTGCATTGTATATACTGATATAGTGAGGGGCAATATTTATTTGAAATTTTGATACATTTAGTTATATCACAGGATAATAAAACAATTCTTATTTATTCTGAGTTATACAATATGCTCCATTTAATTTGAAAGATAATATCAATGTAGTTTTATTTCTTTATTAAACAGTGTTTGTATGCTACATTAAACAGAATATTATAAACCAGTGGCTTTCTATTTAAACGAACTTAAAAAAATAATAACAATTTCATCTGTCTAATAATGTATTATAGCTTGCAAAAAATGTTACTACTTTTTTAATTGTGTAATAATCTATTCCTCTGTGACTTTGTGCGCATTCCGTCGCCAACTTAACTGGCGTTTGCTGTATCAGAATTTATTCACAAACCGTACGTGGTACATGGTCTTTACTGTATATCTCGCTTAAAGTGTGGCGTCCTTAATATATTGGGATCTATCTTGTTTTAACAAAAACGATTGTAAAGTTTTAAGATTCGCATACATGCATTATATAGAAATGAAGTTAAATTATCGACATTTTTTAATATTTACTGATACTCAGCGTTATAGTGAAAAACAACGCAGCCTTGATAAAGGTTAGCCTTCCTGTACTAGAATTTGTCTTTATATTTTCAAATAACTTTGATTTAGTAGGTGTCCACATTGCGAGTTTTATTTTATTGATTAAAAGAAATAAGTAATTATACCAAAATCGTATAAACCCATCATTCATTTATTTCTATTAATT